ATGATAATATGTTAGAAATTGAACTTGTAACAAAAAATGAAACCATCGTTAAGTACCTGGCAATACATGGTGATAGTGCTAATACGAATGTAATTGCAACACCAGTAAATTTTAATACAATTACTGATGCTACTGAACTCATAAGTATGCTTATACAATATAGTTATTTATCTTTTTTGCTGAAGAACGGAAGAGTATTATAAATTGAAAAAGCCTTGTCTTATCAACAAACTGAAACTTTATTTCCTTAGATACTTTCTTTTAAATAGGTAAACTGGAAGTGCCACGCAAAGCACTAACTCTGATCCTACGCACGTTAACGCATGCGAACGCCAAAAATCTTCTGTACGTGCAACCCATTCTTTCAACACTCCCTCCCTTGCAAGTACATATACACTCTAGCAACTATAATAATAATTACAATATCTCTAAGATTATCTCTAAAATCAATTTTCTTAAATACGAATATTTTAATGAAATTAAGGTTAAATTTTATATTTTAAGTAACTAATTTATACGAGGGTGGTTCCAGAAGTATCCAGCCTGACCTAGAGATGGAGGTAGTTGTTTGAAAAATATTACTGTCTTAGAAAGTAAGCAATCTATAAAGTATTTGTTACAAGTTTGAAGATACCACGTTGTTTAGTCATTATTTAACAGCTATCAATAGTAAACGTTGACAGTGAATTTGTGAAAATAGAGAAAATTGGTTATCGTTATGTGATACCATACTTTTATTTGAAAGTTCTCAGCCCAAATAATATAAAAGATAAACTAGATGATACTGTGGGTGAGTCTGCTCCTTCATTAACAACAGTAAAATATAAGGTTGCAGAGTTTAAACGAGACTGTACAAGCTTTCAAGACGAGCATTGCAGTGATCGACCAAATGAGGTAACGAAACGTTTAAACGTTAAGAAAATCAATAAACTGGTACTGGATGATCGTCGACTGAAAATGCACGAGCTTGCAGACATAGTAGGTATTTCAAAAAGTGCAGTACATCGCATATTATCTAAAAATTTGAACATAAGAAAACTGTGCGCAAGATGGATACCGCGTTTACTCATACTCGAACAAAAACAGTGTCGTGAGGATATTTCAATTAAGTGTTTAGTGAAGTTTCACAGCAACAAAGTAGAATTTTTGTGCTGTTCCATAACCATGGATGAAACATAGAATCCATCATTTTACACCCAAGATAAAAGAACAATCAAAACAATGGACTAATAAGAGAGAACTGGTTCCAAAGAAGGAGAAGACCGTTCCGTCTGCAGGCAAGGTCATGACGTCGGTTTTTTGAGATGTAGGATAATGTGTAGGATAATTTTCATAAATTATCTTGAAAAAGGAAAAACTATAAACGGCGGGTATTATGCGAATTTATTGCAACGGATGAGTGAAGAAATCAAACAAAAACGGCAACATTTGTCTAAGAAGAAAGTGTTGTTTCATCAAGGCAATGCACCAGCTCACAGATCCGTTATTGCGATGGCCAAAATTAATGAATTAAAGTTTGAAATGCTACCTGAGTTATCATTATTTTACATAATTGCCATGTAATTTAAATAGTTTGCTTTTAATTCCCGTCATTTCTCGATTCTCTAATTCAGTTCCGATACCGTAAATTATTATCAAAATTTTTCAGTTTATGATTCTTTTCTTTTTGTGTGCAATTTATCGACGATTTGTTATCACATCTTAGCGTTATGGGATATAATGTTTTATCTAACATATCTTTAAGGGCCTTGTCGAATGATATCATTTCTTGATAAGCCTTGCTCATAGCATAGTACTTTGCATGACAAATTGATAAATTGATTACGCTTTGTTTGTGACTTCTTCAAACTATGGTGTCACCAAACAGTTTAGCTATCATTGCGCTAGTTGAAGAAGAGTCTGAATGATCTCTAAAACTTGCATCAGAGTATACTCGTATTTCTAAATTTTCCAATTTTCCTCTATAAGTCAAACTTAATTCAGATAAGATATCTAAAAATTCGTTAAACGTCTACCCAGTCTTCTAATGTAGGGTTCGATTGTTTTCTGGCCAAATATTTTACCGCAAATGAGATGTTTGGTCGAGTTATGTTGGCTAGGTATATGAGACTTCCAACTGCTTCTCTATAAGAAAACTCCAATTTTCTTTGGCTTCCTGACTTTTCTATATTTTTTGTGTTTCTAGATTTGACATGATACAGGTTAAAGGACTTCGGATTGGTGATCAGCGATCTAAAAACTTTTATACATCCTTACAATATAACCTGCAAGGTCTGATGCATCGGCTTAGATGGAAAAATGACCTGTACGATTTTAACATATACCTAAAATAATTAACTTAATAACATAAAATAATTAAACTAACAATATCTCGATGAAAAAACAGATATTCTAAATCTGAAAACTGGATTTTGAAGGGTAGTAGGTCTATTTTGAGATGGTATGAGTCCGTTTTAGGACAAAAATTTTCTCGTGATGCAGTAAAAGCTTAAATATACCCAAAAACATGTTTTTTTCGCATTTTTAGGTTAGGATATCTCAAAAGTGTGACGTGATAAACCATTTTTAAAGACGAATTCGTATTCAGAGCATCGAAATTCTTTGGGATACATTACTGGTATTCTTGAAGAAATTACATGTTGACCTATGTTATCAGTCATTGATCTGATAATAATTCAACTCTTATCATCTGTTATATTTTTATACATTTTCACTGTTACCTGTAATTAGCTACTTGGTTCGTGGCTTTATGCTTCCTATATTTGAAAAGGTTTTTTTATGCCAATAATAATTATTTTATCTATTTATTCCGCATAAATTAACCTGCTTTTAAAATAATGTAAAATATACCCTATATATAAATACATACGCAGTTGAATCAGTTTCAACAGACTAACGTATGCTAATTTAGATGAATTTCTCTACTTGTTTATTTGAAAAAAATTTAATTTAGATTTTTTCAGTCCTATAATACTGTTAAGTCTAAAAAGTTTTCTTGAAAATTTGATAATTTAAAAACAAAGGAAGAGGTATTTCTAATTTTAAAAAATATGTTAAGTATTTTATTCGAAAAACATCTTTAAATATTCACTGATTTTTAAATAGGGTACAGGGGGTTAAGAAAACCAAAAACTAATAAAATGTCTGGTTTTTTGTTTCTAGTACATTACAGCTTAGGTTTATGATAAAACAAATAATTTCTTCGTATTTTGCGTAAAAATGTACGTCGAAAACATGTATCAAACTTTTATAATCAGAAAAATTATTCCACGAGGAATCCAGATTAAATGCCTAACCTTCATGTAACACCCCGGAAGTTCTTATGAAGAAATTAAAAATTAAGAATAATGGTGTAAAGAAATATCACCATTAGCAGTTAAGCAATGAATGTTTCAAGCCACTTCGTGGGGGGGGACCCGCTGGCTAGAAACATACATAGAGGTTTGCCCATGCGCGCTCGCGCGTTGCGCATGCGTCATGGGTGGTCTGGGAGTGGGTGGTGCTTCATTGTGTATTTCTATAAAATTTCTAATAAATTTTTTACCATATATTACGTTTATATATGAAACTTAAATTTTCTATTTCTTATCTTTGATTGAAATAATATGTTTTTAAAAATTAAGTAGTGGTTTCTTGAGTATAAAATTTATTCTTTCTGATGCCGTTTCCAGATTTACAAAAAATAAAAATTCGCGATGTAAGAAAAGCCTAAATACTGCAAAAAAACAGTATTGTTTCACTATGACAGGGCTGATAGCGATGTTCGCTAGCCCTGTAGGCGGCACTCTCCTCGCACGGATGTAGCGGCCGAGCATGGCTATGGGTGACATAGCTTTCACGAGCTCGTGTCATTGTAGGGCCTGGAGAGGCGAGAACGCGGCCGGCGGAGAAGAGCGCGAGAAGGAGCGAGAGCGCGAATAGCGTGAGAGAGAGAGCGAAAGAGGAAGAGGAACGAGCGAGAACGCGGAAAGCGCGGCTCACAACGCGAGAATTAGGAGAACGCGGAGAAGTATTGAGAGCAGTTGCGAAGTGACCGTACGCTAATCAGGTCACGGCGCGAAATAAGTCAAACGGCGCGCCAAGAGAGAGTAAGCCCAGGAGGAGCGAAAGAGAGTCTTTGTGTGGCGAATCTCCGGCTGCTGTTGAGCAGCCCCACAGCGAACACAATTAGACGATCAAGGAGCCGATCCCGGCCGCCAGCTGCCAACCAGCCGCCGCCGGTGGTCCAGTGATCGCCGCTGCCAGCAGGACTGCGATTTCGCCGACGCCGCGTCTCAACCAGCGAGCCGCGGGAGGAGCTACCCGTTGGGTCTGATTCTGTTTGTTCCGCGATCTCTCTCTCTCTCTCACGTGCCAGCTCTTTCTCGGCGCAACGCCGCAAATTGAATTGTCACGCGTGCTAGTTGAGCGAATCCGCTCCTAAAGTATTATAGACTCATCGCGAATGATAGTTAAGCGACTACGCTCCTATTCACCGCCTACTGTCGCGTTTCGTGGATTGAGCGAACGCGCTCGCGATCGTGATTTTGTAATATTCCGTAGTTGTAATTTTCGTTGACGTAAATAAAGGGATCGCCTTTCTGTATTTCTCTCGATTTCTTCCATTCACCTTTCCCGTTATTGCGGTAGATTCGCGCCCGTGGAAGTCAGCGCCGGCTTCCTTTACCGCAATAGGACCTTAAAATAAATCGCAGGGGCACAGTAGTGGCACACTTGGCTGTGTCTGTAAGGATATTTCTTCCCCCTTTGCACCTTTTTTAAATTAGTATATCTCAAAAACCTAGGGTGATGAGGCAATTCTAAGGCCGGATTCGAATTCAGCACACGAAATTCCTTCTGGTACATTATGTCTGTTCTTTGATTCTCAAAAGTGTTGGTTTGCGTTATCTAAAGGTATCAAAATTTACAAAACATCTTAATTTTCTAATATTTAAATATTTAAGGAACAAGTCTTTTACTATAACATTTTAATAATTTGTTATTAAAAAATTAAAATCCACCTTAAAGTTATTCTTAAGTCTTGTAATTCTATCAACGAAATGTCATTAGTGATAGCTTCCATCCAGTATGGCATAACATAGTTCCATATTTCAGGTGTGATGATTTCATACGGAACTAGACAAAATAATCTATTCAATCCATCTTTCAAATGTGATGTTAGAGGTGCTAACATTTCCCTAAAACAAAAGAAAGTCATATAATAACTATATAATTTATAATTGATGCTATTTAATAAGCATACCCATTCGTAATAAACCTTTCAAAAGAAGTAAGAGTTAGGTAATAAGGTTTTATATTAATATATAGTCAATAAAATTAGTCAAATATATAATAAATAGAACTTAGGATATAGCTTATAGATTCAAGCACCCCTGTCACAAGACGCAAAAAGGGAGGCAATTATAGAGTATGGTAATATACAAGCTCCTTCAATTATAGACACATATTTTACTCACTTTATATCCTAATATAAAATTTGATACGAATTTTACTAGAATAAGAAAGTAATCGTAAAATAAGCTGTTTTTTAGTCCATTTTCTGGATCTCGCTAGAGAATTGTAGAAAAATGCTACAACTATGCGGCCGGTACCAAATTACTCGTCATGAAAGATAAAGATAAGTATATTTTGTTAATTTTCAAAAATTTTCGAAAATCACCCCTGTATAGACTAAAAAGTGAAACATTTGACTAGCATGAGTAAAAATATAAACAATATCTATCACATATATTTTCATGCAGTGAATATTGAAAAGTCTTAATGATGTGAATATATTATTGATGGAATCTTGTGGTGGTTAATAACTCACCTTTAAAGCCTTTTAGAGAGTGAGATCATCCTCTTAGTTTAGCAAAAATTGTTTCAAAATCTGAAAAAAATATTTAGATGTTTTAGATGGTAACAATTTGAGAGAAAGTAACTTTTTGTTGATATTTATGAATCAATATATTATTCATGTAAATCAAAAGTAACACTTCGATTTCCTTTTTTTTCCTACAGAGAGGTAGACTTGACTTGATCTAGACATTACAAATTATTTTTTATAAAATCAACCTTTCGGAAGGTGTAAAAACAACTCCCTACAATGATTAGATCTATAAAAATTCATCATCCCTTCAGTATAACAGAAATTAAAAATTATTTAAAAATGTAACAAAATATTTAGATATTTTAAATGGTAAGAATTCAAGAGAAAATAACATTTTGTTGATTTTTATGAAAAAAACAACCCCTTCACTCAAGGGTTACACCACCATAAAATATTAGAAAGTGAGATATTTTCATGTAATTCAAAAGTACAATCCAATTTCCTTTTTCTTCCTACACAGAGGTAGACTTGACTCAATCTGGATATTTCAAATTATTTTTTATGAAATCAGCCTTTAGAAAGGGGTAAAAACAACATCCTACAATGATTAGATCTATAAAAATTCTTAGAAATAAAAAAAAGTGATATTGATGTTTTATTCGAAAGAAATTATGGAAACAACACTCAACTTCAATATTTGTGAAAAAACTAACGCTCTAAAGAAGAAAGAAACTAACTACCCCTAAACTTGATAAATTTCGACACTATAGTTGCAAACTAAGAAAATATTTGATTTCTCTTCTTTCAGATTTTAGAGAATGAATTTAAGTAAACCTATATATTTCAAATTATATTTTTAAAAAACTATTCTTCTGAAGGGTGAATTCATCTCCTAAATGTGATGAAATCTATAAATATTTTTTAGATTCAAAAAAAATTTTAGAGGCTTTACTTGAAAGAAAATGTGGAACCAAGACTTAAATTGTATATTTATAAAAAAGTACTCCTCTTACGGTGGGTAAAACTATCGCCGAACATGGTAAATTATGAAAGTATAGTTGCAGTATAATTTTATTTTTATTTTTTATATATGTGGCAGGGAATTTCGGGGGTTTTGACCGCGCTCCGAGCTTCTTCCGCCACAAGGCCTGTTTGGCTCTACCCCCGATTATTTAGGGCGCCAGACCGTCGGCTGATTACGGCGATCGTCGGGGGTAAGGCCAGTAGGGTTATCGCGTATCCCGGTCTGCCTAACGGCGACTGCGCAGAGTGGGCAAACGGGGGATACGCGTTGTATCCTCACTTCAGGCCTTGGTGTCCAACTCTCGTTGCTATTTTTCCTCCTTAATTAGGGTATGCCGGCAGCTCAGGTGATGACTCCTTAAGTCAGGTCGTGAGGACGTTCGAATTCGCGCGTATGTTACCTATCGAGTGACCCGAAAATATAGCGAATTAGTGATACCCGTATGTAACCGCTCGCGGCTGAAAATCGCTAGCATGCAATAGAGGTAGGATATCAAAGTAAATTTTATATATAAATATAAAGATAATTAATCACTTTATTGATGCATTAATAATTCTCACATACGAGGTCGGAGTGAATATGGTCGGTAAAATTCTGAATTTTCATAAATCCGTAAGGATACAATTTAATCGGAACGTTAATGATTTTCCGGTCGGTCTTCGATTAACAAAGAGAGAGTGTCAGCGCAAATAACTCAGTCGCGAATTTCCTTTGTCTGATCTTACCGTTCCCACTCGGTTTACGAAATGGCGGAAAGATCAGCACAAAATCGAATAAGTACGGCATTTTTATTCGGCTAAATGTACTTTCGTAACGAACTATTAACAAAAAGGTCAGCGCGAATAACTCAATTACTGCTTCGAATTCGTATGAACCCAACACACTCTTTAAATCTAGGAAATGGCGGAAAGGTCAGCGCGAATCCTAAATCACAATTTTCCTTGGTTGATCTTAACGTTCACGTTCAATTTATGGAATATCGGGAAGATCAACAACTATATAAGCACGACAATTTTATTCGATTAAACCTATGTTCGCAATAAATAATTAGCGAAAGGTCAGCGCGAATATCCTAGATCTCAATTTTCATAGGTTAATCCTAACGCTCAGATTCGGTTTGCGAAATGGCGGGAAGGTCAACACAAATAACTAATCAAGACAAATTTTATTCGGTTAAACCTACGTTCGTAATAAATAATTAACGAAAGGTCAGCGCGAATCCTAAATTGCAATTTTTATTTGTAACATCTAACACTCAATAAATAGTTAACGAAAGGTCAGCGCGAATCCTAAATCGCAATTTTCTTTCGTAAAACCGAACACTCACTTTATATTTACGGAATGGCGGATAGGTCAGCACGATCCGATAGGCACCGGCGTCGACGGATCCACGCGTCGCGACGACCTACGGCACTGAACGATTTATTCCCTCACTCCGCGATTAAATAAAAGTGAGTGGCACTTTGCCTACTTACGATCTTTTCCTTGCGGTTTTAGCAACAAAATTGGCAAAAGAGTATGGAAGGCGTCTAGCGCTAATAATTCTGCAGCAAAATTATCTGACAGAGGCTCCTTCTATCGAGAGATCCAGTGGCAAAATGGACGAGAATCGGCTTCTCGCGGTCAAAGATCGCTTTTCTTCTCCTCTTTCCGAGAAGAAATGTTATTATTGGTCGGTATGCTAATTCGGATATCGGTAGCGCCCTCCGAATATTTTATTATTGGTCCGTATGTAAATTAAAAGGATACAGCGCCCTCCTTAACTCTCCTACTTTCGTCGTTATTTACCCTCTCTCACCCCCCCCCCCCCCCCCACTAAGGTAGCTATCGTTAGTTGTTGGAAAAGATCTACCCCTACTCTTATCTATTTGTCTATCCGGACGGAAATCAAATTTTATTCTAATTTGCTTATTGGTCGTGACGTCACTAGCGAATTTTGTCAGAGGTTCAAATTCGGTCAGTTAATTTATTATTTAAACCTAAAGGGGGTAGTTGTCGCTCGCTATCATAATAGGGGTGTCGGCCGCGTGCGAATTTTACAATTCGATATTTGTTCCACGCTCATTATTTTCCAATTATAATTTTAATTTTATTGTCAGAGATACGTATATAATATACGCCGTTTCATTTGTAGCGCCCTCATCTTCGCATTTGCATATTATTCTATTTATCATTTTGTATCGTCTGTCTCGCTCGCTCTTGTTTAGTCTATACCGCTCGCTCTGTCTCAGTCTGTCTCGCTCGCTCTTGCTTAGTCTGCTTCCCTCGCTCTGTCTCGCTCGCTCTGTCTCAGTCTGTCTCGCTCGCTCGCTCTCAGTCTATATCGGCGCTTCAAGATGGCCGCTCAGTTCCTAGCGCGTACGCCTCGTGTCCTTGTGCCGGTTGTTGGAGCGCCTCCTGGGGCGCTTCCGTGTCGGTTTTGTGATGTTCCCCCGGGTGTTTGTGTGTGTGGTTGCTGGTATTCGTGTGTGTGGCGCTCAGGATGTCGCCGATGGTGTTCGACAGCCCGATACAGCTGCTTGCCGGCTGCCCCTTCATCGGCGATTTTCTGCTCGCCCCAGGAGTGTCAGTGCCTCGTGCGTGTTAGTGTTGGTGTCTGGGAGTGTAACGGATCTTCATGTGTCATCAACATGCAATTCCGTTGCATTTCCCAGTCAAGTTTTGCATTTTTTCTTTTGCCGGTCGGCAACACGTGGTCGGGAGTGTATGTGAGTGAGTGTGTGCGTGCGCTCTCTTTTTCTGTGGTGCACTCCCTTTTTTTTTTGTCTGCTCTTTGAGCGTCCGTCGGATCGCGTTTGACAAGTTTGTTTCATCCATATCTCCGGCGTGGTTGTTCGGACATAAAAAAGAGTAATAGTTCTGAATAGGGCGCGCTTATCTTTATTTTATGCAACCGGTTACGGGGCGGCAAGGGACGGGGATGGCCTTTCTGAGGTGTTGCAAATAATGCAGCACTCAGAAAAGGCCTTGTAATGTACCGCATTACATATATTACCAGAATAATCTATATGTTTCAAAATATTTTAAGAAAACTACTTACTGAAGGGGTGAAAGAATCCCCTAAATATTATTGGATCCATCAATATACCTAAATATTAAATGAAAAAGTATTTGTGACTTTGCACGATAAAAATAAGTTTAGTCTGTTTTTAGTCGTTTCTTTCTAAAGAGATGTTTAGAACTCAAAATGCCCGCTAGGTTGTGCATGGCTTTCAAGACGCCCTGCTTTTTGAGCATAAGTCCCCTTACTTCTCACGATATGTTGGTGTTGCTTTCAAAACCTAATGATTTTAATTGTTTAATAATTTGACTAAATCAATCTTCGTTTATATCATTTACTTTTT